GGATGTCACCGTTCACGAACAGAGATATTCTCTTGCCCTGCGGGTTGATCATGAATGGTTCCCTTCCGGGTGGCCACACAAACCCGTAGTTGAAGTTCATACATCTCTTACCTATGGAAAGCACCGACGGTGTGTCGTCCAACACATAAGCGTTGATCGGTTCCTCGAACGACTCAGTTTGGAAATTCGACACGAGATCGGTATCGGTGATTCCATTGGCTGTCTGAAATGATATGGGCTCTGGAGTCACGAGTGTTTCGAGACTGTGCTTCTCGATCTTCTTCTGAGATATGAGGTCATGACCACACCCAGTGTCCATGAGAAACTTGATCTTCTTCTTGAGGATGACTGGTTGAACCATGCATTTGAATAAGCCTTGATTGATGATCCGTTTGCTGTGTGCAGCATCGAGTTCGCGCTCAACGATGGAATCCTCACCGTCGTAGAACGAAACTTCTTCCACTCGAGACGTTCCTGGGATTCGTACGAATGAAACTCGATCTCCGCATTGATCATCATCGTCGTCAACCATGTCTCTCATGATCTGTGCCCTCAATCTCGCTTTGTGCTTGGCGAATTCCAAGCTCACGGCGCGGTCCTCATCATTGATAAACGCTTCCATGTCGACGTACTTCACCTTCCGCTCTTTGTCTTTCTTCGATCTTCTAGGACACGAAGAAATGAACTTCACGTCGTTGGCAAATGTCACATTGCGCTTTATCACTTTTCGGGTCGACGTAGTCGTTCCCGAGGATTCGTCATCTGTTGAACAATCCGAATCAGCGTCGCTGTCAACGGATGGACAATCTGACTCCTCCTCATCTTGTCTTGAAGATCGCTTCCATATAGCCGGAGCTGATGGATTCCACCTTCGACACAATCTGATGGCGGGTGCCGCAGGGAGTGCCTTGGCCTTGGCATTCGGCTTCGCTGGAGCTGCCTTCGCTTCGGATTTAGCTTTAGCTTTTGCCTTTGGTTCCGGAGCTGGGGTAGCTGCTGCCTCATGCTTGAAAGGACAATTCTCTCTTGAGCACGAGCCTGTGTTCTTGAACGAGTAGCATATCCTGTTTCCTCCTCCTCCAGATGGACTTGGAGTTCTCGTCCTCGGCGTGAAGGTCGCTCTGGAGTCTTCTTCGAGTGACTGAATGGACACTTATCGCCATTTCGACACCCTGCATCTGTGAAATGGAACTTGCAGCGGATTTGCTTCTTGCTTTTGTCACCTCTGTTGTCCGCTGACTCACTCCTCGTCTTCTTCTTGGGCTTCGGCTTGGTCTTCGCATGACTCTTCGCTTTGCTTTGAGGTAGTACAGGTGTTGCTTTATCCGGCTTGGTCGGCGAAGCCTTGACCTTTGCGGATGGAGCTGCGTTAGGCGTTGGTTTCTCGGGTACCTTGGCCGGTGCAGCAAGCAAATCCTTGCCCTCAAGCATCTGGCGCAAGCCAATTTGGGTCTGAGTGAGATTTGACTGTTCTCGTCTCCGCATGATAGTACGATCAATGATCTTCATCAGGTTGTCGTACGATCGGTCTTCATGATTGTAGGGCAAGTGTTCGTAATGCATGCCCAACTCCATCTTCATTGCGGGCGAGTCCTTGATCTTGCTGTACAAGCAATCACGGAGAGCTGTTTTGGATGGAATGTCCTCTGGTCTCATCCGTCCCAGAACTTCCAACCACGTCTGCTTGAACGTATGAAGCTTGTTGTCGCCTTGGTACTGGAGCTTCACCAAATACTCAAGAGTGATGATCATGTCAAGACGATCATGCGTTCGAAAACTTTCATACATCATCGCAATGACTTGTCGTCCTTTGATGATCTTCACGTCAGGCCTGCTGATGTAATCGTTGGCCTTCCGGTTCACCTCAAGGTACAGGTCAGCTGATTTGTCACCACCGGCACGTAGCATTGCGACCATGGCGATCCCCAATTTGACGTCTATGCTCTTGAACTTCTTGTGTCCTGAATCATTCAATGCTTCGACATCAGGGAATGGGTTGAACGCTGGTGCCAGCCATAACATCCAGTCCTCATGATGTGGGTCGGCTGATGCCCCTAAGACATTGGCCGTGCACACGGATCGCCAGTTGTTGAGATGAGTGAGAGTAGGCCATGGAGGAACGGTCACCTTGTCGGCTTCCCTCCTGGAAATTCTCACCTCTGTGACTTCAGGATCCGCGTCTCCATCAGGATCACGCGCATGCGAGCCAGGATCCGATTCAGGTTTGCCTCCACCGCTTTTCTTCTTATCATCATCATCGTCAGGCGGGTCAGGAGGGTCATACCCCGTGCCGGTTCCTTCATCGTGCTCTCCATCTTCGTTCTCGTCGCCACCCTCGTCACCGTCACCGTCTCCATTATCCTCCTGAATCGTTTCAGCGAATAACCTCCATTCATCACGATCAGCTCTGAGACGTTGTTCGGCTTTCTGGGCCTTGAGTACTTCGCTTCGCAGATCGGCAATCTTCTCCTCGTACCGTTCCGCGACCTCTTTCTCGATCTGACGTCTTCTTGCTTCATGAATGGAATCGTCATAGGCAATAGGGGGACCGATGAGGTCGTTGCCCTTCGTAGATGCGGTAACACCGTCGATACCAACAGGTCTTGAGGAGCTGGCCGATGCTGTGGACTTCGATCCCAACATCCCGCGATCCCCCAAGAGTTCGCGTAGCTGTCGATCACGCACGGCTGCCGCATCACTTTTCCCATGAAATCCGCTTGGTATGCCGAACAAAGTGGCTGCACTAGGCGTGGAACGCGCAAGTGCTGGGCTGCTAATACCTGGCACGTAGTGCTCGGGCATTGCATCCGCCACGATTGGCATTGAACTGCGGCCAGTGAAGAAGTTTCCACCGGTGAATGGAATTCCATCCATCACAAGGTTCTTGTCCTTGTCCGATTCCGAGAATGCGAACTTCTCTTTGGCGACTGGACTAACTTGACTTGGGGACCGTATTTCAGGGGATCGTACCTCATCTCCTACGGAAAATGCAGGCATTACTTCCTTTCCTACGTGCTCCCAGCCAGACTCAGTAGTCCTCGAAGACATGGGCATGCTCGAAGGTCGCGTCGCTCCTCCTTGATTGGAGTTTCGCGCTGCCTCCAATTCGCTGCGTGTCCTCGCTTGAAGATCTTCTTGTGCTTTGAGCGTTTTCCTGAGTTCACTCAGCTCGTCGTGCAAGGTAGGCAATGATCGCCTTGCATGATCTTCATTCTGATGAAGTCGATCCTCTGCTTCTTGCATCCTCTTCACAGCCATTTTGCGGTACTCTTCCTCTTCACCAAGACGTTCGCGAAGCCGAAATCGTTCTTGATCAATGGCTGCGCTGTTTCCAGCTAGCCCTTGGATCTCGTTCACAGCCCGCAACTCCTGGTTCTTGACCAAGTGGAATCGTTCCTGCATTGCTTGTAAGGCTTGTTCCGAACTTGCTGTGTTTGACCGGAGGACCAAGTTCTCTCTGGCGTGTTCATGAAGTTCATGAGTCAGACGCTCATACTCACGTGCCATAAGCTCACCATCGCCTTGCGCTCTTGCCTCCAACTGCACAAAGTTGGTGGCTGCCTCCGTGCGGAACACGTGTAGCTGTTGAGCTAACTCCTCGGCAACGGCATGTGCTTGACGTTGTTGAGCAGAGTTCTGTTCATCCATGCGAAACAAAGCTGTTTCATAGTCTCGCTTCATCTCCTGATTGACATTGTTGATGTGCCTCATGGCTAAGCATGCATGGTCACGTTGTCGTTCCAATTCTTCAATGCGAATTCCAGATCCTTCATCTTCTTGTTGCATCTCCTTGATCTTGTCCATCAGGGTCTGGACGATTCCTTCGTATTCTTGCACCTGACTGCGATAGTACATCTGCTGTGCAAGGTTCGATGCTTCGAACTGTTGCGAAATCGTCAGCTCCTGGTAGGCATTCGGACCATCAGCTATGGCAGGCGTAGCTACGGACGACGCATCACCACGTGCAGGAATCGTATCCAGAGTCATGTCCAGATCGTCAGCATCGCGTGGTTGATTGGTAACCATCCGATTCCAAGTCATGGACTTGTCACGTCCACGAGTAGCCGAAGTCCTCGATCGTGCTGAAGAGCTTCTCGAAGATGATGGTCTTGACTTCTTTTCCAAGGTCTTGACTCCTTTGTCCTTGGCCCTGGACGTAGTCCGAGGTGCCTGAAAACCAGACGCTTCGGCCCGTCGTTCTGAAGCCTTGCCCGTCCTCGAACCTGTGGATGTCGGACGCGAAGGCGTAGATGCTCTTGGTAGACTCTTTGCTTTCCCCTTGGGAACTGCCTTTGCAATGGCAAGCGCAGAAGATTGACCTTTGTCATCTTCCGTGGAGCTATCAACGGATTGCACCACTGTGTCGTCAGCTGTTGACTCACCAACGGCTGGCGCTGCCACATCGGCACCGAAAGTCATTGTCGTATCTTGGCTTGATCCTGAGTTCATTGTGGTAGTAGTAGATCAAGTAGTCGTTGCTGTAGAAAGGCAGAGCCGCGTACGGCTGATAACCTGCGTGGGGGATTGATCTCGACTTGGTTGCTGCTCTCCCCACCAGAGCTGTAATGAATGTAGGTGTGGCTGGCTTGCACTCTCCACAGACTGGACCCTGTCTCTCCCTCTTACTTCCACACGTGCAATCCTATGCAGGCAGAACCGGCGGCCGTTCCTTTTGCACTCACTGCCGGCGGCGGTTCGTCTGTGCAACGGGATAGCTCTGATTGCTCAGGATAGAAGACACATATAGCACTTAGCTATGGGCATTGACTTGAGCCAAACGTTGCGTTGGCGGTCACATAGAAAGGTAAAGATGAGGGATGCGTAGCATGCCCCCTAGAGTCGAGGGACGCGTAGCGTGCCCCCTTCTCTTGCACTTTACACGGTCTTGCTCACAGCTCTTATAGTGACACCTTAGAACTTGACAAGGCATCGCAGTCCGTTCGCATAAACCCTAAACCCTAGACCCTAAAGCCTAAACCCTAAACTCCGAGGCGAGAGGCTCTCTGAGGGAGCCCAGGGTCTGCTCGAAGTCGCTGCGGGAGATCCAGAGGAGCAGCGTCTGCCCCTCCTTGGAGGGAGTTCGGATACCCCAACTGTTCGGGTTTAGGGTTTAGGGTTTAGGGTTTAGGGTTTTGGGTTTAGGGTTCAGGGTTTAGCCCCTTTAAAAGACCCTCAACAGTACATATCCCCTCCTTGCCGGGAGTTAGGCTACACCTGGAACCCAATACCCCTTAATCAAGGAATATACCTTAAATCATAATATTAAGCCCCCTACTAGAGGTGGGATCTTTGGGCACCCTAACTTTAGGGTTTAAGGTTTAGCCCCTTTGAAGGACCCTAAAAGGTCCATATCCCCTCCTGGGGTTTAGGGGTTTTGGGGTTGAGGGTTTAAGGGTTTTGGGGTTTAAGGGTTTAAGGGTCTATATAGGGGTTTAGGGGTTTCCGGGTTTAGGGGTTTAAGGTTTAGGGGTTTCAGGGTTAAGGGTGTCCTTCATTGAACCCGTGGTAAAATTCCCTCATAGAACACCTACAATAGAACCTTTGCAGGAGCCCTAAACCGTAAATCGCAGAGCCGCTTAGAGGAAGACGTTGACCCTTAAAGGGAACCCTATAAGGGAACGTTTTAAATGGACCCTTTCAAGGAACCCTTTAAAATACCTTACAAAGCAACCCCTTGTAAAGGATCCCTTTTCAGGGAACCTTTAGAAGGAACCGTTTAAAATTTCGTATAAAGTATATAACCCTTTAAAGGGACCGTTTCAAAGAACCCCTTAAAATTTCCTTACAAAAGGGGAACCCTTTTAAAAACGCCCTTGTTTTGAGGAACCCCATTTTGATCGCTGTCGGGCCGAGGAGCTCCGCAACTCCGGATCGACGCCCTCCGCGGGGCCTGGGCGGGCCGAGAGACTCCGACACCCTGTTTAACTAAGGACGATGCCTTAAACAGGGACCCTTTATTATGACCTTATGATGTCTATACTTTAACGAAGGAATATATACCTTCAAGATCCTGAAAGAGATATCCTTAATCTGAGGGCTTCGAATAGCGAGTGCCAGGTGGGATTTGTTGAGGGCTTCAGGGTTTCAGGGTCCAGGGCTTAGGGTCTAGGATTTAGGGCTTAGGGTTCAGGCTTTATGGCTTCAGGGTTTTAGGGTTTAGGGTCGGGGGTGGTTCCAATCCGGGCAACAATTCAATAGTTCAGGGTTTCTTGCAAAATGGAGGATACTAGGTAGACTTGCTACTGGTTACGTATTGAAGACCCCTCATGACCTCCATCAACACCCCGATCATCATATTTAGGGTTTGGGGTTTAGGATCGTAGCAAAACACTAATGCTGTGATCATACCGACAAACATGCTAACACACTGCGCGTCGGTTAAGTCTTTTGTAGGACATTCAAATATAGATGTTGATTTGTTGTTCTCCCAGGTTGGACACAGAGAGCCGGGCAACATCGACACTTTCGTCAGCCCTACAGTCTATCAGTCCAGACATGGGAAGGTGCCAGCATCCGGGGGTCACAACATATCATTTTGCCGTGTCGAAGGATGGAATGCTCTATGTCAAGGGCCTGACGGACTCGAACCTGGAGGGCCAAATGTTTGCGATCCATGGCAGATTCAAGCGAGGAGATGAAGCCAAAGCTTTGCTGGCTGAAGCCTACAGTCTCACAGCAGAGTCGGCAGTCTTGCTCAAGGCCATGAATGGCAGCACGCTGCCAGCTGCACTCCAGAAGTATGCAGAGAAGCCCGGTGCCTTGGGGGGGATCCTCAATGCCATGCCAAGGCAGGTTTGCCAAAAGTGGGGTTGTACCTCCACAATTGTGAAAGTGAGACTACAGGGAAAGATGTTGTGTGGACAATCAAGGCCTTGGAACCAGCATGCCTCAAATGTTCGATCGAAGAGCCTGGTGAGGATACCAGTGCTCCCTTCCCACCACAGGAGATCTCCTATACTAAGCTCTTCAGCTATGTGGTGCTGTCCCGGCTCACTCAGGTTCAGATTTGTTTTGCCCTTGAATATGATGACCAAGCCAACAAGCTGAAGGGTATGTGTCCCAGTGTCTGCATCAAGCAGACAGTCAAGCTTCCAAAGGATGTGCGCTAATGTCGTTGCAAGATCCAGTCCGACAGTCTGCAGTCCTGCAGTCATCAGTCATATGAATCTAATGACACTTGCAATTGGTCTGTTTGCCTCTGTGGGCCTGTCTGCACACGAGAGCCTGTAGGTGCAGCTGCAGTTGAGTCCCGACATGTAGTTGTTCCCCGACTGGTTTTGCCAGCTCAGTTTTGTCAGCTCCGCTACCACAGCCAGACAGAGAGGTGACACATCGGGGAAAACTGATTCTTGCACTGACTGTCAGTTGTAGCTGCAGGAGCAAGATCCTGCTAAGCTGTCAGTCCCACTGTCTTGCAATCCACTGAGCTGCAAGCTCATCTTTATTTTTAAGGGATTAGGGGTGTAGAATCAGAACTTAAGGGTTGGGACCTGGGGTTCTGGCTCTGGTCTGGTATCGTGGTCGTCGTCGTCGTGTCGCAAAGGACCCTCTCTAGCGTTTTAGGGTTTAGGGAGTAAAATATTTGGAGACAAGGATCTGTCGGCCTTTGTTTTCGAGAAGGCTCCTTCAGTAGAGAGGGTTACAACTGCTCTAAAACATAACCCTTCAAGACAAGGCTGTGTCAGCCTCTTTACGAAGCTCCAAACCCCCTAATTCTAAACCTCAGTCCTACAGCCCTACGATCCCAAAAGCCAGACTTTCAAGACAAGGCCGTGTCGACCTCTTTTGTTTGATAAGGCTCCAAACCCCCGAAAAAAAACCCTGATTGCCCAGGTCTGCCTCGTGCACTGGCCGCGCCTTGGTCAACAATGCAAGCTCCCCAAAATACTCGCCAGTGCGATAGTGCTTCACCATCTCCTCCTCCAGTAATCAAAGTCACAGTTTTCAGGTCTTGGGGTGGATAGGATTGTTGGTAGTATAAGGGCCTCAATAATTAGAATAGGCTTTGGGGCTTCTAGTGAGGAACCCCCACACTGGTTTAGGTAGTTATTTCGAACCCATACTATGACGTCACCTGTCGTTTAAAGTTTGGGTCTACGGCTTCTCCTCCTCCAGGAGTCATGGAAGGGATTTGGGAATTTCCGAAAAACGGGGACCCTTGTATACTACCCTAAATAGTAGGATCCTTTTTATCAAGATCCCAAAAATAAGGTACCCCTAATTTTCGGAAACTCTAAACCCTAAACCCTTTATAGAACCTTTTATAGATCCCTTTAAGGAACCCTTAAAGGATCCCTTTAAAGGCTCGGAAAACTCCGATTTCGGGTGCAGGCTTCCGAGTTCACGGCGACAGGCTTCAACGCATGGTACTTGGAGGCCCTTTTGACTTAGTAAGTGGGGTTAGTAAGGTGGGTTATGGGGATTATAATGGGGTTTCTATGGGATACTAAGTAGACTTACTAAGTCAAAAGGGCCTCCAAGTAGTGACTTGTGGCGTCGGGCCAAGGGCTCAGGGTTTGGGAGTTTTTCGGGGTTTAGGGTTTGGAGTTTGGAGTTTAGGACTTTGGAGTTTAGGGTTTAGGGTTGTGGGTTTTGGAATTTGGAGCTTAGGGTTTAGGGTTTTGTAAGTGTCCAGGCTTTTTAGGGTTCAAAGTTGAAGAGTTCAGGGTCTGGCCTATTGTTGAGGGTCGGGGGTGAAGGTTCAGGATGCACGGCTCCGCCATCTCCTCCTCAAGGAGTCGTGGTAAGCGTTTCAAATGAACGGGCAGTACAGTATCACACTACGTAATCATAACAACACAACCCTGGTAGCGACCCGAACCCCAAGAATGATTTCCAACGTCATGAAAGGATGCTCTAAAGATGGCAACAACTGTCGTGCACTCCTTTGGCGGCTGGTCCCCTTCGCCGGGTTGCTCCACATAGGCCTTCGACAAGGTGCTTCGGACAAGGGTCCCGTTGTTCTCAAGCTTACACATGTGAAATCTCCAACTCAAACCCGGGCCCATCTGATTTATTGGATTATGGCGTTGAGGAGACTCTAGTGCAAATACATGAAGAACGCAGCGGAAACTTACTGCTGACTTTCAGCGCCCCATAGTTTACGCAAAACCCTGAACACGAAGCTCTGCTCTGGGTGAGTCCAACAGCCAGGGTTTTTTTTTTAAAGTGCAGTGACGTCCTTTCCAGCCAGGGTTTAGGGCTTAGGGTTTAGGGTTTAGCTTTAGGGTTTGAAAACGGGCTTTATGGACCTTTAATCGGGTTCATTGGCTTCTTCTGCCAACATCTTCAAAGAATGAAGCTGCAAGCTTGCCAGCGGAAAGGGCAAGTCCGACCAAAGTTCCCTTGCATCTGTGCACAAGGCAGCCGGGGAGAGCACGATTCCCAGATCTTCCGAAACCCGTAATGAATCAAGCAGTACTCCTTATAAGTGGTATGACAAATCTTGCGATAATCCCTGGAGCACTCCTTAACTAAGCAGCCTGCAAACCTGAAAGCCCGACAAACCGGACACAACCCTCATAAAACCCGTGTCAGCGCTAAGCTCCGGGAACCGCTTGGGAAATGTTAACAGGCTATCAGACTCTGATGTCCCAGATCCCTGTCATTCCCTGCTAGCTGGTAGCGGATCGGCACGAGATGGCTTCGGCGGCAACGGCAATCATCGTCATAATGGTACCGCAATCAAAACCCTGGCAGGAAACCATAGGCAGAAACAATACTCAAAAATGATCGCATCACGGTGATGCTAGCAATCGTGACCTTTCAACATATTTGTACGGTTGTCGTGATCATAGCAAGAAATAACAGCGGCACTAGCCATTCATGGCCTTCGTCATATTCGCAAAACATCACACGCAGACTTGGTGCTGACACCCTCGACATGATAGTCGTCATCACTGCAAAAACCACCTGCAAATATGCCAGCATCATGGCCATGAAGGTACTCCGAAGCAGAAGAAATGACACGAACAAACCAATATCATAGCTGAAATTTGAAAGAACCGTACACATAACTCGGATACTGCCCACATGCAGTAGCAGTCTATAATAGGGCTCCTACTAAAGGCCACTATCTATCCACATTATAAATATTATTCGACTGTTACCGAGTGGGGTCGGTATCCAACTCTAAGCGCCAAACCCTGAGCCCTCGTACCTTTAACCCTCAACCCTAAACCCTGCCACCCTAAACCCTGTAACCCTATAACGCTAAACCCTATAACCCTACACCCTGTAACCCTAGAATTATAACGCCAAACCCTATAACCCTAAACCCCATAACCCTAAACCCTGTAACCCTATAACCCTCAACCCTATAGCCCTAAACCCTGAACCCTCAACCCTATAACCCTCAACCCTATAACCCTTCTTCGTATGGACTTGAAGCTCCATGCCTTAACTTCACCATCCGCAACGATGAAGAACTTATCCCCGGGATCGCCCTGCAAGAGGCGGAAGGTTTGAGGCGTTAGGGGGTTTAGGGTTTGGGGTTTAGGATTTAGGGTTTAGGGTTCATGAGGTTTGAGGCGCTTGGGATCTAGGTGATTAGGGTCAGCTTTTCTTACAGTACGGGGTCGCGTTCAGGGCCATTGGTTCTTTAAGGGTGTTTTAGAGCCCGGTTTCGGGCTCTAGCGGTCTGGGCCGTTTCTTGGAGGTGTTCAGGCTCAGGGGGTGACTTGCGAAAGCACGTTTGCGACTACGAGCGCACACACGCCCCGTGCGAAAGTACGGAGCTGATGCAACATGCGATACGAGCCTGCTTGAAGACCGTGACGTCTGGCTCAAAAAGCCTTACTGGAGATGCACAACAAGCCAATGGATGCCGTGCATAACAAAAACCGTAGACAACCTTCGGGGACCAAGGAATGCAAGGCTACGAATGGCAAGATGAGGGTTTGCATACTATGACTACGCAAGGAGTCCCAGGGAATACCGTTACGCAAACTTCGGGCCCCGACATTCGTTCAAGCAGCCGGTTGCATCAGGTAATCTTAGAAGATGCTTAAGATAGGGCCTGATCAATTGGAGAAGGATTTCGGGGTCTAATAGTATTCTAGAAATATGGTTTAGCAGCTGCCCCCACCCTGTAATAGTGACTATAAGGATGATATTAAGGCCCTATCATATTCCTATTATACCACTATTACAGGGTGGGGGCCCCTCTAGAATATTCTAGAAATATAGTCGGAACCCCAACTTGGGGCTTAGGGCGTAACTTAGAGCTGAGCTGAGGCGAAGCCGGCCAAAATTAAGCAAGCTGGATCTTAAGCAATACTAAATGGGAGTTTTCCGAGAACAAGGGGTACCTTATTTTGGGGTCCTTATAATAAGGATCCTTAATTTATGGTACTATATTAGGGTCCCCTATTTTCGGAAACTTTAAACCCTGAACCCTAAACCGTTTATAGAGCCCTTATAGATCCCTTTAAGGAACCCTTAAAGGATCCCTTAATTAGGGTCCCCTATTTTCGGAAACTCCCAAATACTAAAGGACACCCCTCGACTGGCAAGCCGGGCTACTCCACCATCATCAGATTCGCGGTGTCATCCAGCTGCTCTGAGGTTAGGTCCTCAGAGTTGTCCGAAGCAAGATTTTGCAGAGTGTTTTTCTGACTTAGGGTTTGGGGTTTAGTGAATTTTTCGGGGAGCGCAACACCCCGTAAAGAAGCAACAAACCCCTTCATATACTCATCATCTGTCTATGCTTCGAGGGCGGGTGTCGTGTTCTGTTTTGCTTTTCGTGTTTAAATCGGGGGCACTTTCGGGTTCAAGTAAGCATTGCACCGGCACGAACTATGAGAAGAGTCTCTAGTTGAGAGGCCAGACGGATCCTATCCCCAAGCACTGAACCTGGCCGACCTGGCTTGTCAGCCCGATTTCCAGCAGCAACAACGACGAAACTAAAGTCCAGCAAACAAGCTATGTTTCGACTCTGCAGCGAATCTTCGTTTTTAGGATCTTAGGGTTAAGGTTTGCCTTTCTTTTCCTTGTTTTCCGTATGGGACGTCAAACAAGAACTCTCTATTCCAAGGGTCTCTGAAGAATTTGGCGTCTTTGAGGAGCGAGAGCGCATATGGCTTCCAGAGCGTCTGGTTCCTTAGATGGTTTGGAGTTCAGATTGTAAGGCCTTAGGCTTTGGGTTTCGTGGCTCAGGGGGGCAAGAAAAGAGGCCGCAAGACTTTTTCGGCTCAATGTCGAACGATGACGATGACGGTGACGGTGGTGATGATGATGGTGATGATGATGATGATGAGGGTGAAGACGATGATGACGATGATGATGCTACTGCTACTACTGCTACTGTTCCCACCTGCACCACCGCAGCCGCCGCCATCTCCACCACTACCGCCACCACCCCCACCCCCACTACCACCATCAGCACCACCTGCACTACCGCCCACCTCACCACGCACCCAACAACCACAAACACCACCTCCACGACGCCGACTACTCCTTCCGACTAAACCTCAATAAAAGAGCTGCCGACCGCACAGATACTTATAGTTCGCTTGGAGGATCATGGGACTGAGCAAGCAGGCTGTAAATAAGCTTCTAGATGGGGATTTCCGAAAACAGGGGACACTAATATGGACCCTAAATAGAAGGACCCATATTATAAGGACCCCAAAATAAGGCACCCCTAATTTTCGGAAACTCCCAAATCATTGCAGAGGCTCAGAAACTGAGCTGGCGCAGACCTTCTTTGGGTCCGGCCGCATCCTGGCGAAGCTTCGAGTTGGCGATGTAGGGTTTAGGGTTTAGGGGTTTAGGGGTTTAGAGGTTTAGGGTTTAGGGTTTAGGGTTAGAGGTTTAGGGGTTTAGGGGTTTAGGGTTTAGGGTTAGAGGTTTAGGGGTTTGGGGTTTAGGCAAGGTTTAGCTTCTGAGGTTTTGTGTTCAGGGTTTACTGCCAGAGACTTGGCCCTAAGCCCTAAACCCTATAAAACCTAAACCCCAACTTAACAGCACAAAACAATAAAGCCCCTAGAGCCCTCAAAATCCCAACCCCAAAACCCTCAACCCTAAAAACTCAAGATCCTAGGCCCTTAATACTAAAATCCTCAAACCCTGGAGGAACCCCTTTAAAGGAGCCCTTTAAAGGAACCCCTTAAAGGCCCCTACTTTAAAACCCTAAACCCTAAATCCTAAACCCTAAACCCTTTAAAGCGACCCTTAAAGGAACCCTTTAAGGGCCCCCAAACCCCCCCCAAAGTTCGCCTCGCGAGCCCTGGTGCCGCGCGTCTGGCGCGCTCCGCGACCACGGCGGGCAGAAGCCAAGGCCCTGGCCGAGAGGAGGCTCCCGCGGCTCACGGTTTGAAAGTACTTGGAGGATGATGGGACTTAGCAAGTAGGGTTATAAGTGCCTGAATTGGAGGTATAAGTATTTATAAGTATAGTTACCCTAATTATAACCCCACTTACTAAGTCCCATGATCCTTTAAGTAGGGGCCTGTAAAGGGTTCCTTTCAAGGGATCCTTGAAAGGGTTCCTTAAGGGTTTTAGGATTCGAGTGTTAAGGGCTTAGGATCTTAGGGGTGGCTTTAATGTAGGGGCCTGAGGGTTCCTTTAAGGGCACCTCTAACGGGTTTAGGGTTTAGGGTCGCATATGAGGGTTCCAATAAGGGCTGTATGTAGGGGCCTTAATAATTAGAATAAGGCTCTTTCTTTTTAAGGGATCCTTAGCGGGGCTCTATAATACAAGGGATCTATAAAAGGGTTCTATGCTTAAGGCCTTAGAAGTTTACTGTAGCTTTAGGGATTTCAGGGTGGAGGAATTCAGGGCTTAGGGTTTAAGGCGTTAGGGTCTAAGGGTTTAGGATTTAAGGGTTTCGGGCTTGGGATCCAAGGGTTTTGGATTCAAGGCTTTAGGGTGTAAGGGTTTAGAGCTGAGGGGCTGAGGCCCGTCTTAGGAGCCCTCTATGGTTTGGAGAGGGTTTTGGGGTACACTACATTGTAGTATACTTTTGTGGACGGCTCAGGGTCCCAAGCTCTAGCACTTCGCTTGGGACTTTAAGGCTTTCTACAGCGGACCTAGCAAGGCCACATGCGCCCTCAGATACCTTTTTTGTCACCTGTCTACCGCATTCTCTGATAACAAATCACAAGCCGATACAAGTCATACTCTTCTTTGCAGGAGCTCCTACAAACCATAGTATGTATGTGTATATATGTATAAATGTGTATGTGTATGTATATAAATATGTATATATATATATATATATATATATATATATATATATATATATATATATATATATATTATATATATATATACTTACATATATATATTATACATATATATATATATTTATATATATACATATGTGTGTGTATATATGTGTGTGTATATATATATATATATATATATATATATATATATATATATATATATATTGCACCGTTATGACTATCAGAACCGCTATCATGATAACGTTAGCTACTGCAACGGATATCCTTATCGTTTACTTTCTTCCACGACTAGCAGATTGAACTCTCAGAGTCTATGCGAATAGACATGTTAGTATGTCTGTACATACAGGGAACTCCAGAAAGTTGGAATATGGTTTCATGGTGGGATACCCTATAATTTACCTGAAAGGGGTTACGATAATGATATTCCAACTTTCTGGCTTTTACCTTAAGTGGGTAAATTAGGGTCCCTTTCAGCGAAATTATAGGTGTCGTATTATATTAGGGACCCAGAAAGGGGACCATAATTTTGACAACCACCCATGTATGTAGATACATTTACTTACTTGTTCAAGTTCATCTAGCTATGGATATGTTTTCAAGTATATATTCACTTCTGCCTGGTTTCTTGCAAAAAGGCCCATACGTAGTTCTCTGAAGTAGGGTCCCTTTTCGGGTTACCTAATTTAGGAACCTGATTAGGAAAACCTTGGGCGTTGATTATAGAGTTCCTTATATAAATGCTACTATTTTGGAGTCATGGGCCCAGGGTTTCTTAATCGGGTTCCTACATTACCCGATGATGCATCGAAGCCACCCGCACGCCCAGGCCGGCGGAGAGCACCGCCAGGGCCCAGCGTCGCCAGGGCCATGTCTCGCCCCGGGCTCGCAGCGAAAACTTCGCGCGCATCAGCCACAAGAAGAGGGTTTAGGGTTTCAAGATGTAGAGTCTGGGATTTAAGGTTTTTGGGGTTAAGGCTTTAGGGTTTAGGGTTTTAGCATTTAGGGTTTAGGGTTAGGATTTGGGGGAAGCTTTTCTTGGATTTGCCGCGGGGGTTCCGGATGAAGGGTTGGGGCACAGGGCCCGGCCAGCTTCCTAGGGTATCACTTGGAGGGTCGGGGGACTTAGTAACCTGGTTATTTTGAGGACTTATAAGTACCATAACCCCAATTAGGGTCCCTTTTAGGGTACTTATAAGTCTACTTACTACCTACTTACTAAGTCCCCCGACCCTCCAAGCAGGCTCAGCGGTCAGGCCTCAGGCTTTCGACTTTACAGCTTTCCCTATTCCCTACTTGTCGGGTATCATGGGGAACTAGAGGTCAACCTTTTTGGTTATATAGGGATTATATAGGGACTATACTACCCAAAACAGGTTAAAGGTTACCTACTCGGCTACTAGGATTCAGGGTTTAGGGTTTAGGGTTACATCAAGGCATCAGGGCTTGAAATGGCCGCAGGTTTGCAGCGTGGGGAGATCCCCTGCTGCGCACGCCGAATCTGCGCTGACGACAGCTGCGGGGATGCTTTTAATTAACGCAATCCACCCCTACCGTGACAGCTGCACTGTCCACTTTCACGTACAAGAGGGGCCTTAATAATTACCTATACGATTTTGAGGGTTCCTTATTATGATTATAGTATAAGGGGCACCAAAACCCTATCCTAATTATTAAGGCCCTAAAGTACCTGCTGGCTTCCACAAAGAAGGCTTTGGCACCAAAACCCGGACTCCGGACTTGCAAACATCCCGACAACCCCCACACCTTCAGGCGAGGCCGGGAATCGGAGCAGGTCCACCTCAGGCAAAAAAAGGTGGCTTCTTACACTTCTGTCCGTAACCTCCCGTATATGTGGTGGGAGAGAACGACAGAAGCACGTCTACTTCAAGGATAGGTGGACTCAGTAAGCAGTTTCTGAGTCGGGTAAGAAAGCAAACAAACTGGGGTTCGAGCACTTATAGTCTTGCTTAGTGATTCCCCTCACCTCGTAAGCACAGGAGACTATTCCCCCGAACCCCTGAGTTCATCTGAACTTTAAACCCTAAACGCAAAAGCCCACGCCACTTCATTGTAAGCTTGTTCAGCGTCCCGCATGGTAGGCTTGTCTCTGGGGCTTCATGCGGCTGTCCCGGCCCACGGCTAATCCCTCGGCAAGGATTAAACTAAGGCTCCTATACAGGGAGTATAACAAAATGTAATCCTACCTACCTTAACCTACCAAAACCTACTTTTTTGTAGGATGCCTATAAATTCCATACTAGGGAAAATAATGAGAACCTACAAAAAAGTAGGGCTTGGTAGTTTAAGGTATAGCCACCCATCCGAGACTTCAAACGTAGGGTCGAGTGTGATCTTAGCCTCCGGCGAGCTGGTCGCCCAGCGCCGACGGCACGCCAACGAGCGACGAACCCGTGTCCTGTTACACTCCCACCGTCGACTAGACTACGGGTCCAAAGAGTAAGAAACTCCCAAACCCCGTAATAAAGGAACAGACCTGAAATCGGAATAAGGATCCCCCTAGAATTTCAGGTGTATTCTTCTGCAGTCACATCTGATCTAGTTTGTGGCTGTGAGATCCGGTGCTCTTGCCGAAAAGCTGGGGCTCAATTAAGCAGGCACCCCGTCCACGACAGCTCTGCAGCCATCGTCGCAAAAGTCCAGCTTCTGCCCGTCAGCCTGGTAGGTGGGGGTTTAGGGTTTAGGGGCTTAGGGATTTAGGGTTTAGGGGTTTAGGGGTTTAGCATTTAGGGGTTTAGGGTTTAGGGTTTAGGACCCCAAAATAAGGTACCACCTAATGTTCGGAAATGTTCGGGAACTGCCATGTCACGCAATGCAATGTGCTGCTGTGCAAAGCAAAGGGCTGGGTTGGACGAGAATAGACAAAACCCTGGCCCTAAAACGCAATCAAATCCCTAAACGCCTAAAGCCCAAAAAGCAAAGCCACCTAAATCCTGCAACCCCAACAGTCCAAACCATACAAAAATCATAATAGTGGTACTAACAAATAATTAAAACAATATTAATACTACTCATAACAACAACAGTAGTAACAATAGTAATCATAATAGTACTAACTATAACAATAAACCCTCGCCAGACCCCCCACATTAAGTCAATTTAAGGGCAAAGGGCCTTGATGCCATAGACCTCGAGCTGCCAGTAGCCCTCCTCCAAAACCGGGTTGGGTTTGCGGGTTTAGGGGTTTAGGGGTTTTGAGGTTTTGGGGTTTGGGGTTAGGGTTACCATCCCGGGTTCTAGGATTTGGGGCCGGAGGGGTTTAGGATGCTAGTGGTTTAGGCTTACCATCCCGGGTTTTAGGGTTTGATGCTGTAGGGGTTTAGGACTCCAAGGTTTTAGGGCTTAGGCTTTGGGGATTGGGGTTTGGGGTTATGGGTTGTAGGGTCTACTTGGAGGCCCTTTTGACTTAGTAAGTAGGGTTAGTAAGGTGGGTTATGGGGATTATAATGGGGTTTCTAGGGGATACTAAGTAGACTTACTAAGTCAAAAGGGCCTCCAAGTAGGGCTTAGGGCTTAAAGGGGTGCTGGAAGGGTTCTATAGCGGCTTCTAGAAGGGTTCGCTAAAGTTCTGTGAGAACTGTTTTTTATTGAACTCCGTTTTCCAAAGAGGCTTTCTGTCAGGATTTAGGGTTTAGTCCTTCGGCGTTCGTTCCGAGGTGTTTAGGATTCTGCACTTCTCAGCTTAAGGCTGAATCTTCAGAGGACTTAGCAAGGGATTTCGGATTCGCTTAGCCCTCACTCCCAGACCCCCGGGAGGATCCAAAGAGTAGATCCATTAATGGGGGTTCCTATAAAGTACCCATAGTAGAATAGGGCCCCGATTTAGGGGATCTACTTTCTAGATCATCCCGGGGGTCTGGGCTACAGGAGTGCTTCTAATCTACTTACCTAGCTCCGGATGCTTCTTTTAAGCAACCTTCTGACATCAGACCGGTTTTTCATAAGGGGTAGGGCTTAGGGCGTCTAGGGTTTAGGGGTCGGCATGGGCCCTAAACTCTAAACCCGGTAGCTCCGAGACTCTGCCCCGTGAGTCCTCGCTGTCCTGCACATCACAGAAGGCCTCAGGCTTCCCAGATATCCGGCAGGATCTAGAAAGTAGATCCCCTTATTTGGGGCCCTATACTACTAAGGGTACTTTATAGGAACCCCCGGTGAAGCGCAGAGGCAAAGGGAGATCGGGTCGGCTGAGATGGATGCTGATGCGTGGAGAGGGAGGCAAAGATGCGACAGAGAAGCAGAAGTACAGAGATGGAGTCATGCAGAAATGGCACCATCGAAAGGTGGCATTGATGGATGGAGGGAGGGATAACGGGGGAAGGACTGGCTTGGACCTGACCGAGACAAGAAAGTCAAGCTGAAATGCTGTGACCAAGTCGACCGGATGAGCAGCGGTGCTGTGGCATGCGCTGAGTTGCAGCGAGCTTGGAGACGACCAGACTAAGACCAAGGGATGCACCTGATCCACTATGATTACGGCTTTGATAACTTCGCTTCTTCTGGTGATTGCTATGGCTCCGACATTACTATTATGTTTATTGCTTAAGAAGTAGGTGGCTTTGGAGCCTGGCTGTCCCTAAGGCTAAGCTACGGAGAGGGTTGCGCAGCTTCACGGAAAGCCAAGGTCCAAACGCTTCCAGCACTATCGCGGAAGCCAGTAACCAAAACTCCCGGAACCCGAGCAAAAACACAGAAAAACTCGGGAAAAGAGCCAGACCTGTGCTATCATAACAACCACAACAACCAAAGATGAATGACAATGATAGTCAGAATAATCATAATAATGATCTTAATATAATCATGATGACGGGAAAAGTCGCAACATCAAGGTTACCGATACAATCAAGCAAATGAGCGGAGGTTTCAGACTGATCGTAAAGTAAGTCACAAAAACAGTAGTGACAGGGACGGGGATGAGCATAACAAGACGAAAGACTAGGATACCCAGTAACCTAAGAATAAAAAGGCCTCTCTTTTTGGTATTGGGTAACTTTATAAGGAACCTAGGACTACAAAAAGGGAATAAGAGTACTAATGAGCATCCTAGAAGAAGAAAGATAAGGCCACTGAGACCGGCACCAGCTGGTGACCATTCAAAATGTGATCATCTGGGCAGACCGGACTTGTCGGCTCGGGCTTGAAGTTGCTTTTGGGTTTAGGGTTATAGGGTATAGGGTTTAGGGTTTAGGGTTTAGGGTTTAGGGTTTAGCGTTTAGGGTATAGGGTTTAGGGTTTAGGGTTTAGGGTTTAGGGTTTAGGGTTTAGGGCCTAGGGGAAGGGCTTAAGCTAGCTGGCTAAGCGGCTAGGGATGTACCGCATGTTCTGCTGATGGGTGTTTCAAGGGTTTGGGGTTGAGAGGGCTTGGGGTTTCCGAGTTTGGTTTTTAGGTGTTTCGGGGTTCAGAGCAAAGGGAGTGCTGGGGTTTCGGATTTGGGTTTTTGGTGGGGTTGGGAATTTGGTATAGGAGTTTAGGACGTAGAATTTGCCAGAACTCGTTTGAACACTTCATCAGAAAGCAATAGATGCTTGGATAGCACAAAACTGAAAGCTACAAGGCGCGTTGGCCAGAATGCTAGCCTCAGGTCTAGTGAGGAAAGCCTCTGCGCGCCCCGACAAACTCTACTTGCTCATCAAGGAGCTTAAAAAGTAAGTTGAAGTGAGCTTACAAGTACTGCAACTTGCATTAGGTAATCGCAACCCTGGCTATAAAGTACTTACTGAGAATCAGAACTATACCCCCCTTAGAACCATAATTAAAACTGTATTATTAATATTATTATTCTCTTGGATCTATATGAACATAAATAAACAAATAATTCCTAAGGAGACTATAGAGAAAGCAGCAATGGGCCGG